TCACTCGGGGGAATCATTATTTCAAATTTATATGTACCCAAACTGTATGCGATGGAAATACTCATATTTTACCACAGCTGGCACAACTTTTAGGTAATCAAGCTCCAGGCAGATATGTCTGAACTAAATTAAAGTTTAGGTTAAGCGTCTACTGGTAGGTTTCGCGCAGAATCAACTTGCCACTCTCCAACGGAAGCTTGGCAAATGAATTCCATGCTTTCCGGAAACTACCACCAGCACCCTATTCGTTTAAGTTTGAGCTCGGGTACCGTAGGTTGATAGCACAATAAGCTGGCCATTTGCCGGAAACCAGGATGATTTTAGAAATCGTTATTATGTCATCGGCTATGCACTGGTTTTTTTCTAAATACATAGACACTGGTGATGTTGTGAAACTGAATTGTAACCCCTGTGATGTCACGTGAGTTCATCTGATTAACAACGTCATTCAACTATTCTAAACAACTAATTAGATTCGTAATTCACAGGCGCAACAAACATAGTTTGCACAATTATTTCATGAAAAGAATATGATTATATGCTATTTCTCTCAGTTGGACATTTAGCAATACAATAGAGCTTTTAATCAGTGCTATGTGTTCGAACTGCAAAAGATCGTGCTCCAGTTAAATTCTAATAATTGATCGTCTTGAATACTGGTCTGCCTATAGACGTTGTTTGTGCTGTTCAACTATGGATAACTACAGCCATTTATTGTAAATGCAACATACTTGGCTTTGCAGTCAACGGCGAAAGACGTGGAGCTTGCAGAATCAGCAGGAAATATTGGTCTCCGAAACATTCTTGCATATCAGGTCAATGGTAGCATGTGTTGGGAGCAGATCGACGAGTTTAAGCAGCGGTCACCAAAGGAGCTGTCACCCACCCATTTCATTCGGTGCTCTATTTATTGACAGTCAACCTAGTTCTAAGGTTAGCGTGTTTTGTCCGAATGTCAAACGAACCGAACAACTTGGTCACTTCACGCCACTTCAGAAAAAGTACCATGATTCTGCGAGAAGTTTCGTTTAGCGAGGATGAACATGAAGTTCATAGAATTTCCCGTGTGGAATAAACATCACACCTAACGTGTTTGCTTTGCGCGAAAAATATTGTTCGACGATTGTATTTGAGCGCGTTTCCTTCCGTATAATCTGCGCAAAAATCTGTCTGGAGATCGCTTTTTCGTATTGTGTTGTCAGACGTTCTTCACAACCTCCAGTTGTGTAATTTCGTTTAGTTTCCCGGATGCATATTGCATCTATGCTCCCAAAGTAAGTGGCACTAAACGAGGACATCTCCAAATGCCGACGCCGGTTTTCGCTCCTGTTCACCGTTCACTTTGTGCTCTAGATGATACATATCCATTCTTTCAATTTACGCCGTATTCCACCATCCGGGATGGTGATTGTGTCATCATGCACAATACAGAACTCGGGGTGACTTGCCTACCCACGCCTTATGTAATGAAAATAAACAAATATGATCAATCACGGTCTAATCCGCGTATTCACCCATTGATGTGAGTAGGTCTACATGCACGAGTCCAACAAAGCCTAACTTCAACCATTTGTGTAGAAGGACCGCTGTCAAGCACCTGGGTGTCACCATCGACACCATCTTCCGTTAGTGTACCGACAAGAAAAGTTGCTTGATGAAACGTAGTTATCTCTCCGTTTAGCCACGAAAACTCAGGTAATTTGCAATCACACAGTCACCTTTGTCATCTTTCTTTCAACAATGTGTTTTCGCAGCTTTAAATCTACTGCTCTCGTGTATCGTTTTACGAATTATGGAAACGGGATTAAAAGAATATTCATAGTGATTCTGCGACAAACACTAATGAATCCTTGATTCCCATTAGTTCAGTATTCACAGAAATTATTGTTGAAAACTTAGATAGGCAAACAAGCTCGTTTTCAGTGTGTCTTATTTATGCCAATAGAACACAATATATACGACTAGTAAACAATAAGGACTTTCTAGGGAAAAGGAAGAGCAATTAAAGTACTCAACAGTTTGTATCAGAATGGGCCCCCAATTATCATTTGTTCCGATTTTTCATGACGGGTCACTCGTCAGCAATCCGGCCATAGGAGCTCACGTGTTTGTACAAATAGTTTTTGAGCACACAGAGGGGAGTTGTGAAGACGGATGCAAACTTTGTCCTGTGCGACCAGAATGCGAAACCGCATGTGTCTGGACCGTCCGCTGGGTCGAAACGCTTCGGTCACGTTCACTTTGTGATTAGTGTAGACAATTTGCGACAAGCCCCCACATGTGATTCACTTAATTCCTCCTCTTTTCAACCACGCAGGGTGATGCTCACGGATTCGCTCAGATGTACTTTTGGTCGTGCGGCCAACATACGTTGCTCCACAGGAGCAAATGAAAGAGTTAAAAACAGAGGACGCAGAGTCGGGCACTCTATCCTTTAACCAGATGCGAATGGAGTT